GGTGGGTGTGGCCCCCCTGGGGGCTGAGGGGCTGGGCACAATAGGGCAAATAGAGGTAAAACCTTTAAAATCCTTCTTCTACCTTAGGGATTAATTCTAATTTAGTCCTTGGGCCAAGTGAACTCAATTTTTTATAAATGGTGGGTCTGCCTCTCCTTCTCTAGGAATGCAAGGATTTGTTCCATATTTGGTCTGAAGCATCCTTGGGTGAAGGGGAACAAATTTTGTATAAATCGTGGGTCTGGCCTCCCCCCCCCCCAGGGGCCTGAGGGACAGGGCCCAATAGGGGAAACATAGCAAATTCTTCAAAATCCTTCTTCTTCTGTAGGAATGAAAGGATTTGGTCCATATTTGGTGTTGAGCATCCTTGGGTAATGGGGAACCAATTTTGTATAAACGGTAGGTGTGGCCCCCCTGAGGGCTGAGGGGCGGGGCCTAATTGGGGAAATATAGCAAATTCTTTAAAATCCCTCTTCTTCTGTAAGAATGAAAGGATTTGTTCCATATTTGGTCTGAAGCATCCTTGGGTGAAGGGGAAACAATTTTGTATAAACGGTGGGTCTGAAGGGCGGGGCCCAATGGGGGAAACATAGCAAATTTTCTTCAAAATCCTTCTTCTGTAGGAATGAAAGGATTTGGTCCAAATTTGGTATGAAGCATCCTTGGATGAAGGGGAAACAATTTGGTATAAACGGTGTGTCTAACCCCCCTGGAGGCAGAGAGGTGGGGCCCAATAGGGGAAAAAGAGGTAAAACCTTTTAAAGCCTTCTTCTACCATATCCCGGGATTAAGAGATTATATCCTAATTTAGTCTGGAGCATCCTTGGGCTAAGGGACTCAATTTTGTATAAGCAGTGGTTTTGGTCTCCCAGGGGGCAAAAGGGTGGGGCCCAATAGGAAAAATAGAGGTGAAACCTTTAAAATCCTTCTTAGACCATCAAGATTAAGGGATTTTATTCTTATTTAGTCTGGAGCATCCTTTGGCCAAGGGGACTCAATTTTGTATAAACGGGGGGTTTGACCCCCCCCCCCCCCCCCTAGGGGCATAGGTGTGGGGCTCTTGTTTGAAGTTTGCTTGCTATATCTCAAGTTCTGGATGGATCTTTCTGAAGTTTCATATGTACTTGCAGCACCTACCATGGAGTGCTATATCTTTACTTCATACCAATTATTTTAAACATATTCAGGTGAGCGATACAGGCCCTCTGGGCCTCTTGTTTAATCTTTTCAATGCTTTTCTAATTTCCTCTTTCCTGATAGGACCAGTATCTATCTCTCTTTCCTCAATTTCATACTTAAGATTGATGTCAAGTGGAATTTCTGGTTCAGGTCTGTTTAAAACTTCAAAGTGTTCTTTCCAGTTTCTCATCATGGCTAGATAATGGATTTCCAGTCTTGTCTTTGATGACTTGAGGTGGTTTTCATTTTTCATTGCAAATTTTTCTTGTTACTTCATATACTGTTTTCATCATACCATTGCTTGTTGCTTTTTCTGCTTCTTCAATTAGTTTGTCCGTCCATTTCATTTTGTCATTCCTCATACTTTTCTTGACCTCCTGCCTTTATCACTATACATTTGCGTCATGTCCCTCATACCATGTCATACAGAGTCGTTATTTATCCTCATGCTGATTTGTTAATGTATCTTGGGTTTCCGTAATAAGCTATTTTTTAATCTGCCTGGTAATTAGCCATGCGTGAAACCTACTACCTGCAGGATCAAGTTTTGCTATCTGGGTTTTCCTTCCCATAGACGATTGCCTACCATGGCGACGAGCTCCATCTTCCCGGCTTTTCTTTCTAGGTCTTCTCCCATAGCCTTTGATTTTCCCAAATCTAACCACAAGGCAGTGGTGCTTTGGTGCTAATTACCCATAGCTGGGGCATGGTTGATGAGTGCAAGGGCATGTCCACATGCCGGTGGGCCTATACACTACATCTCTAGGGCCCTTGCTGCTCCGAGATCCTCTTCAATTTTGCCTAGGATACTAAACCCTATTTACCATGTACTGTCGCGAGGAGGCATTGTAGAAGTCTTGAATAGTGCAGAGGCTATGTACTGGCAAAAAGACTTACTCACTCGGCTTTTGTTTCACCTGCTAAGCAGGCTAGCCAGCGGTGGTAGAGGAGCCTATGACACCAACCACACTAGACGCATACACAACCCTGTGGTACAAACCACCAGCACACCTACGCTATCACAGCTAACCATTAAACAATTCTTGTTAGCGCTATATCTCAGAAAGTAATGGAGGGATCTCAAATTTCACATGCAGGTTCCCCATGGTTCCTAGTTATGCATATCGTTTTCAGAGACTGAACGCAAAAACCAAGATGGCCAACAGCCAGCCATCTTGAATTTGAGAGTTCAAGTTTGTTAGCACTATATTTCAGAAAGTACTGGATGAATGTTCCCCATTGTCCATGTCAACTTTTTAGTTTGATCAAAAGTCTGATTAAGATGGCCGACAGGCAAACGAATCAAACAGATAACAGAAATTAAAGAGAAAAGATCAAACTGACATAGAAATAATGAAGATGGTATGATGGTGGGTGCCAAGATCCCTTTTGGATCTCTTTTTGTATGAAATTATGTGTCATGTTTGCCTTTAGCTGATGGATAATCACTTTTATGTAATAATCACTTTTATCCATACAATTTCAATAAAAAACACTTAATGTAACATTTTTGCATATATTTTGTGATAAATAAAATATTTTTAGGGTTGATTAGCAATGGCTCTTTTGTCTTTTTATTGTTATAGTTACCGAATAATGACAAATGGCACACACCAAAAAATTGGAAAATAACAAAATTGTTTTGTTGTTTTTTTCCCAAAAAAATCCCAAGTCAATCAGAATAGTTAGATTTTCATTAAATCACCTCTACTAAGTGGCATATCCATTTTGTGAAAGTTTCAACAGGTTCTGCTGGTTAAGTGCTAATGGATGGAGCCTCCTTAAAAAATGATTTTAAAAATCAAGTCATTTTGATGATATACTAAAATAACATGTGTTAACATGAAAAGGTTGATTTGTGTGAAAATTGTGGTGCTGCATTTGCAGTTATCCAATGGTATATTTCGATTATGCTACTCCAGGAACCATGCAATCACAACTCCTCTTTAACAGTGCTTTGGAATGTTTTGTAACTTGGCACAGTGAAACGACATTGTATGTAGATGTGCTCAAAGAAAGGAATTTGCGAGACAAATATTTTTTCCTAGAGTTATGGCCCTTGAAACTTTAAATATCTGCTCCAGAAATCTTGTAAGTGTAACTCCTCCTTAACTATGAGTTGGATATTTTGATAACTTGGCACAGTCATACTACATTATAAGAACATGTGCTTAGATAAAGGAATTGCGATTTGACTACTTTTCCAGGAGTTATGGCCCTTAAAAGTTTTGGCTTCAAAAACCTTGTAAGCCGAGCTCATCATTAACAGTTTGTTGGAATTGTTTGTAACTTGACATAGTGAAATAAAATCATATGCTCCAGACAACATAAAAGCATAACTTGAGATGTGTATGAATAAAGGAATTTGCAAAACAACAAGTTTCCTAGAGTTTGGCCCTTGTAACTTTATTAAATTTCTGCTCCAGAGATCTTGTAAGTTTGATTTTTTGGTAACTTGACAGAGTCAACATGCATGAGCATGAAGAAAAGATTTGATTTGGTTATTTTTCCTGAAGTTATGATCCTTTAAACTTTAGTTTCTGCTATATGTTTACCATTTATTACCGAAAAACAGCTGTTAAATTGTAAGACAGTGTTTATTTAATTTTGGTGCAAATTAAAACCATTTTGTTAATTACATTGATGGTTGAGGAAACCTGTCATATCATTTCAATGGTTTTGATGTTAAAGGAATGTGGTTGACTGATGATTGATGGTAAATAAGAACATTTCACTTTTTGCTCATTAAGTTGAACTTCTTAACAAATGTAATTGAAACATAAAAATCACTACTTCATGTTACACATCATTGGTCTGTAATGGTCCACATTTAAATTACAAGGATCAATAATTTATCATATTTATGTGTATATGCCTAGTGTTCCCCTTACAGTGTTCAGTATATATGTGTAACATCACTTCAGGGTGAAGGTAATAATTCAATATCAGAAGTCAAGTTGCATGACGGTTGTTGGAAATTGATTCATTTTTTCATCATAACAAAGTCCTCGTACAGTGGGTCAAGGTCAATGAGAGTATTGATAAACGGAAATAGGAAGTACATTCCTAGTTGAAAATTCAATGTAGGGAGACAGTATCACAATTTCCACATATTCTAATTTTGTTTTACAAAGTGCCAAAAATACAGGAAATATAAGTAGAAAAAACATTGTTGATAATTATATTACCAAAGAGTTGTCATTCTTGACAGAATGTTAGAATACAGAAATACATTGTACTATAAATACTGTGTAATGAGTCATTATGTTTATGTTTTGTCCATTGTTTAATCTTAAACTGATGAATATTGTATGTTTATTATCGACAGAACAGTGTGTTCTCTCAATATTGAAGTATTTTAAAGCAATCCAGCCATTAATTTAGTTATTTTTTATCAATGAGTCACATGTGTCCATTTTTCTGTACTTCAGGAAAACGGCTACCTATTTCAATACTGTGAAGTTTTTCAAGAAAGATAAATCTTGCATGTGTATATGGTTTTATTATAAAATGTCAATTTTTAGTCATTTATAGATCATTTATTTTACACAATTTCAGCATTTATTAAATTGGTATACATTAATGCAATACTTATCTATGACAGTATCATTTTTATTGACATTATTAGCAAGAAATTGTCTTTCATTTTTTTTCAAAATTCAATTCTTTTTACATAAATTTCCATTTAAAATCCTTAAAATTCTGACAACCTATATTTTTTTTGTGACAGAAAATTTTCTTTACTTCAAAGCAATATGTTTACAAAATTTTAAGAAATTCTACTGAGAAATGGTGACACAAACCTGTTACCTTAATTACAGGTACATCTGTATTATCTTTAGGTACCATAAGCCTTCCGGACAAAAAGGATTCCTCCCCAGATCCTAAGCCTAAACGACGCAGATATCGGCGCTCCAAGTCCCGAGAGCAGCCGAAATTATCACCTTTATGTCACAAAGATCAGTCGAAAAGAAAGGAGAACACACCTAATGGTCAAAAGTTAAGTCCAAAAAAGACAAATAAGGCTGTAAAAATGACAACCGAGTCACCGAGTCAGGTAAGTCGTACTACAGTGTCACAAGGCGATACACCAGTGAAGGATGACGGTCAGTCTGATATAAAAACTGTAGTGGATAAATTTTCCAAGGACAATAAGAGTAGTCGACAAGTGTTATTGCTGCAGCAGCAATTGTACCAGGAGGGGCAGGAAACTCCGCCTCAGGCCCGCCCCCAGTCACAACCCACACCTGACAACAAACATTCTCCTGACACCTCAGGCTTCAAAAAGGGTCAAGGTCATTATAGCATGTTTGGCCAGTCACATGATGACCAGCTTTATCAACAAGGATCATCTTATGGTTACTACAGTCACAATACCTGGGGTCAGAACCATTACCAGAGCTATTCTGGTTACTATGGAAACAACTCTGGATACTATTGTAACAGCACTGGGTACCATGGTAACAATAACACGCATAACAACAATATGGATTCTCAATCATTTTATGGTTATAACAATAATTCTTTTGAAAAAGAGGGAGGATTCCATCCTTCCAATCCAGACTTAAATCGTTCCTTTTGCAGTTCTGACTTGGTTCGAAGACCCAGGTATAACTCAACAAATAACACATATAGACAGCACACCTACAACCCTCACAAAGGTCTTGATTATGGACCGTCCCCACCAACACCATATTTTAACCAACGTCAGAGTCCCTACAACAACTATGCTCAAGATCGTCAGAGTCCCAGCTACCACTCCCTTGACCGCCAGAGTCCCTATCAGAATACCTCCTATAAAGCAACCTGTCATCTGTTGGACAGAGCCTCGCCATATATGACTGCTTTTCAGCCGATACGAAGTGACAGCCCGAGTACTACAGCTAGCTCTCCTTGTGAGCAGGACTCTCTAGACTGGGACAGCCTGGTGGGTCCAGTGGAACTACTTATTTCGAACCTTGACTACAACATCAGTGCCAAGGAATGGAGGAAGATCCTCTTCACCACCTTCCACCCCCACGTCAGGGTGAGTATAGTTACTAACACAATTACCTGTACCTTTGAAACATAACCTGTATCTGTGACACATAACCTGTACCTGTCAAACATAACCTGTACCTGTGAAACATCTGTGACACATAACCTGTATATATGACACATAACCTGTATATGTGACCCATTACTTTATCTGTGACACATTTCTTGTATCTGTGACACATAACCTGTATCTGTGACACATTACGTTATCTGTGACACATCACCTGTATATGTGACACATAACCTGTATATGTGACACATAACCTGTATCTGTGACACATAACCTGTATCTGTGACACATAACCTGTAACTGTGAAACATAACCTGTACCTGTGACACATAACCTGTAACTGTGAAACATAACCTGTATCTGTGACAGATAACCTGTATCTGTGACATATAACCTGTATCTGTGACAGATAACCTGTATCTGTGACATATAACCTGTATCTGTGACAGATAACCTGTATCTGTGACATATAACCTGTATCTGTGACAGATAACCTGTATCTGTGACAGATAACCTGTATCTGTGACAGATAACCTGTATCTGTGACATATAACCTGTATCTGTGACATATAACCTGTATCTGTGACAGATAACCTGTATCTGTGACATATAACCTGTATCTGTGACAGATAACCTGTATCTGTGACATATAACCTGTATCTGTGACAGATATCCTGTACCTGTGAAACATAACCTTTATCTGTGACACATTTCCTTTATATGTGACACATAACCTGTAACTGAAACATAACCTGTATCTGTGATACATAACCTGTAACTGTGAAACATACCCTGTATCTGTGACACATTTCCTTTATATGTGACACATAACCTGTAACTGAAACATACCCTGTATCTGTGACACATGACCTGTAACTGTGAAACATAACTTGTATCTGTGACACATAACCTGTACCTGTGAAACATTACCTGTATCTGTGACACATCACCTGTATCTGTGCCAATTTTTTCTTTTTGAAATTATTCTCATGACCATCATCAAAAAGAATTTACTAATTTAATGGAATGAATACTTAAGATGCAAGTAAAGAATCATCAAATACATAGTACATGATACATGCACACCATTGTATTTGTCATAAGCAATACTGCCTGTTACAAAATGGATTAGCCAATCATCTGACGTCGTCTGACTGCTGCTAGTGCTATATTGAAGGCATATCCAACCTGATTATGGTCTTTTTACCACTGAAAGCTAACAGGTGAAGATGTACCCGATACCAAAATATATATTCATCAGACATGAATAGCTTTTGATAAAATGTATTTGACTAATGTAGGTTCTGAATGTGCATGTGAAGGCCCAGCCTGATAATACCAGTATAGGCATGGTGAAGGTCCCCAGCAAGGAGGAGGCACGATTCGCAATCTCACAATTCCATCGCAAAAAGATCGGCTATAAACGTATACATGTGACTCTAAAGAATGATGAAGGACAGCATCCAGCCAACACCACTAGGTAATTACACCATAATATTGGTCAGAAGTTAAATGGTCGAAATTAAATGGTCGAAATTAAATGATGAAATGATGCATGCAATATGGAAAAAAGTTACAAGCAAGGTGGTTCCATTTTAGACTATATAAGTCTAAGTAACATAATTTTTCTGTTTTTGACATTATTTTGTGAACTACTTTTGTTTGGTAAAAGCTTAGGTAGGTAAATTTAACATCAATCTGGGTTGATTATGATTCTTCTGTTTTACAATCTCGCATATCTTAATTAGGCGTTCCAAATAGTACTTGTTCATTGCACGGACATACATAGGCACTTGTAAACTACATTCAAACTTCATTCATGGATGTATGATTTTTCAAAATTAACTTATACTTGAATTGTTATATTTCTTCGGACTGTAACATTTACATATAACATCGCTCTATGAACAGGGCTGAGGCAGTGACCTTACTTCTGGAGGCCAAGGATAACACCCTACCATTGTTTAAGTTCATAGAGCTCTTTGACAAGAGGTGGGTTCAGATGTAGCCTTAGTGGTTTTACCGATTAATATCGCCTTATCAGTAAAACTGGTGGAAGTTTTTATATAAACACTTTATAAAGTTCAATATCAGTCTTTGATTGTGGTTGTAGATCAGTTCTTTTTGCATTTGTACTAGAACTCTTAATATCATGCAAGGGTAACAGCATCCAAGATGTGGTTGCCCTATAAGCTAGTTATAGAAATCTGTACATATTAGCTGTATCGGCGAGTATGCTTCAATCTTTTAGTGAAATTATTAAAATCACAATCAGATTAAGATGGACTATTAGAGCAAGATGATAATGATTTACCATGATAGAGGAATGACATTCTCAACAAACCAGACCAGCAGTTTAATTTAACCACTGAATCCAGTTTAAAACTTTGTAGCCATTGCCTGCCCATGGAGAAAAGCCTGGCAACTATTGCTTAACTTTGTGTTACCCAGGTACCACCGATCTATTAGTGTATCAGAGCTGTACAAGATGAGGGATGTGATTGACATTAGAGAGCAGGGAGGGGCAGGGCGGATGGTCTACCTAGCCTCACGGCCACAACAAACCACCCCCAACACTGAAATAGCTGATGGTGAGGTAGGTACAAACAACTGCCACTTTTTATGTTTCAACATCAAGCTAGCTATATATGCAGGCACAGAAATAAATTTCTCTTTTTGTTGATTGCAAGATCTGTTTTGCTGATTGATTTAAGGTTACATATTGACAATAATTTCTGCTAGTTTTGTGTGTAATATTGCCCTTTAAGTCCAAGGTTATTGCTGTTGGCCATCCTAACTCTTTAACAAAAAGGGAGAGGTATTTACCTTAACCCTTTCACCCCTGTGTAACTTAATAAACTCTACCATGCATTGATCTGGATAAGACCATTATGGTCTACAGTGGTGAAAGGGTTGAAGTCATTGATTTAGGTCCTCCCTACAGTTTATCGTCAGGTGAGTTATCATCTTCCCGAGTAAAAACCATGACTAGATCATTCCTGCTGTTTGTAGAAAGGGGAGTTACTGAACTTGAGGTATGAAGTCCATCCCTGCATTTTGTTGAAGGACACATATAGAACTTTTCAGGATAAAATTCCTGGCTGAAGGTTATCCCTACATTGGAAAAAAGCGATGCACTGGCTTTCATGACAACAGCAATATTCTAAGTCACGCTATGTTGACAGGTACAAGAGATCCTGGAACAGCCGGTGTGTACCATCCACTGTCCAGAGGGCAGCACTATGTATGCAGAGGCCATCAACAGCTGCATGCTGCCCTATGTCAAAATGTCCATCAAGATGCTTGGCCCACAAGTGCACTCTCTTCTACAGACACACGACGGCCACATGCCACTGATGAGGTACACAAATGCCACACCCATTCTTTTGCTTACATCACTGTATCTTACCTTATTATATAGTGTACTGTACCATACTGTACATTAAAATAAATATCCTGTTCAAAATACATTAAAAATTACTAGGTACTTATTTATTATTTACATTCTTCGTATATTAAAGGTACAATGTGAGGATGCAAGAACAAGGAGCATAATAATTATTCAAATCTCTTTTTCGTCAATAGTTTTTGAAAATTTCCTTTGTACAAGTACACTTGAAATGTCAATGTGGAAATATTCTTTCTATATTATTTGAGGAGAATTTATATATCTTTCTTGTGTATTTTTCATATGACCTGGCCAGCTTTCCAATGTGCTACATTGCTGAGTTCTCCAGCCTACCAATTTCACTGCAGTCTCAGGGTGGTGTACCACTTGAGCATCTCATAAGCTGTGTCCCTGGTATCCAGATACAGGTGTCAGCTTCAGGAGTTAAGAAAGTCCAGTGGGCGGAGAACCAGACCTCTAACGCAACAGGTAGGTGTAGCCTTTAGCCAGTCCCACACTTCAGCTCAGCAACCAATGATATCATCTTGCTCTCTTTCACCTCAGCTGAATAACTGAATTAATAGCTAAAATGCACCCGCTGTTACTCCACATCAGCAATAAATATTTATGTGTCACCCAGCCAGCGCCATCTCAACATACCCACCCCATAATGTAAGTGAATCCTATTATCCCGCACCTCATCCTAACTCAACAAGTAAATGTACACCTCAATCCCGACTCCTCACTACTTATAATCTCTACTACAGCTGTGACCTCAACAAACAAGTATTCATATGTTACCAACAGCTGATAAAACCAGAGGTAATTGTACATTTCTTTGAAGTGAATGTAAACCTGTATTACAGATGTAGCTCGCCCTGTGGTAAGCCCTCTGCTGAATCAGCAGCTGAACCAAATATGTCGTGAGATGACCGATCTTTTGAAGCAGAGTCCACAGTGCCGCATGCCAATGAGTAAATTCATCCCCTCCTATCATCACTTCTTTGGGCGGCAGTGCCGCGTGGCAGACTATGGATATAGTCGCCTGAAAGACCTGTTTGAAGCTATTCCTCATATAGTACAGGTATTTTGTTTTGTGATGTACACTTATGTTACTGATCACTGTTTTATAAATTTGAAGTTTAAAACTTACTGTAAAATAGAAGGATGATTGCTGTAAAACAGAAGGATAATAGACCACTTGTAAGCTAGCATTAAGCTACTGATCTACAGTGGAACTTATTGTTTGACTGATAACAGGTACCAGTGTATAGACCACTCGTGAATTGGAGTCATTGGGATTATATCATGTTGATTACTTTTAGGTGCTGGGGACTGGTGACAGAAAGCTGTTGACTCTGAGTCACAGGGCCCAGGGGAGACGCTTCACTGCTGATCTCACCAAGCTGCTCAAGGTCCAGCCTGGCAAGAGGATTGGGATCAAGGCTCTTCCTGAAGCCTGGGGTAAGTTCATAAGCTGAGGTCAAAGTCACAAAAAACTGGTCAGGCCGGCTGACTCTATCTTCCAGTTATGTTGAGGTATAAACATTGATTGCCTACAGATTATTTGATGAACTTGTACATAATTCCTATATATCATCAAAGTATGATTGTGTCACATAACACTAATTTCATGACATTCATTTTTGTCACCCATCATATATAACCCGTCCTGTTCATAACTTCTAAAAGGCTAGTCGTGAAAATGTGTTGCATATACCACTCATTGCCTATGTCCTGGTGTCAAACTATTAATTTGAGCAATAATGTTTTGTGGTCAGGACATGTACATAACAGTAAATATAGCTTGTTCGTATTTTACCCTTTTGTCACATTGACATGACCTTTTCACAATTTTCATTTTCACACAAAAAGCTTCTTGTTAAACAATTTGTTTAATTTTGATTTCATTTTCCAGCCAAATTTTACAATAAGGTGTGGGACATCACAGAGTATGGAATGTCACAATTAGATGACCTGTTGACAGAGGTTCCTCCAACAACTGCTGTGGTAAGTATGTACCCTAAGGTTCCTCCAACAACTGCTGTGGTAAGTATGTACCCTTAGGGTCCTCAAACAACTGCTGTGGTAAGTATGTACCCTTATGTTCCTCCAATAACTGCTGTGGTAAGTATGTACCCTTACGGTCCTCAAACAACTGCTGTGGTAAGTATGTACCCTTAGGTTTCTCCAATAACTGCTGTGGTAAGTATGTACCCTTAGGTTCCTACAACAACTGCTGTGGTAAGTATGTACCCTAAGGTTCCACCAATAACTGCTGTGGTAAGTATGTACCCTTAGGTTTCTCCAATAACTGCTGTGGTAAGTATGTACCCTAAGGTTCCACCAATAACTGCTGTGGTAAGTATGTACCCTAAGGTTCCTCCAACAATTGCTGTGGTAAGTGTATACCCTTACGTTCCTCAAACAACAGCTGTGGTAAGTATATCCCCTTAGGTTCCTCCAACAACTGCTGTGGTAAGTATGTACCCTTATGTTCCTCCAATAACTGCTGTGGTAAGTATGTACCCTTACGGTCCTCAAACAACTGCTGTGGTAAGTATGTACCCTTATGTTCCTCCAACAATTGCTGTGGTAAGTATGTACCCTTAGGGTCCTCAAACAACTGCTGTGGTAAGTATGTACCCTTAGGTTCCTACAACAACTGCTGTGGTAAGTATGTACCCTTATGTTCCTCCAACAATTGCTGTGGTAAGTATGTACCATTAGGGTCCTCCAACAAATGCCATGGTAAGTATGTACCCTTAGGTTCCTCCAACAATTGCTGTGGTAAGTATGTACCCTTAGGGTCCTCCAACAAATGCCATGGTAAGTATATACCCTTAGGGTCCTCCAACAAATGCCATGGTAAGTATGTACCCTTAGGTTCCTCCAACAACTGCTGTGGTAAGTATGTACCCTTAGGTTCCTCCAACAAATGCCATGGTTATTATGTACCCTTAGGTTCCTCCAATAACTGCTGTGGTAAGTATGTTCCCTTACGTTCCTCAAACAACTGCTGTGGTAAGTATATACCCTTAGGGTCCTCCAACAAATGCCATGGTTAGTATGTACCCTTAGGTTCCTCCAACAACTGCTGTGGTAAGTATATACCCTTATGTTCCTCCAACAATTGCTGTGGTAAGTATGTACCCTTACGTTCCTCAAAAAACTGCTGTGGTAAGTATATACCCTTAGGCTCCTCCAATAACTGCTGTGGTAAGTAGGTACCCTTACGTTCCTCAAAAAACTGCTGTGGTAAGTATATACCCTTAGGCTCCTCCAATAACTGCTGTGGTAAGTATGCACCCTTAGGCTCCTCCAATACCTGCTGTGGTAAGTATGTACCCTTAGGGTCCTCCAACAACTGCTGTGGTAAGTATATACCCTTAGGCTCCTCCAATACCTGCTGTGGTAAGTATGTAACCTTAGGTTCCTCCAAGAACTGCTGTGGTAAGTATATACCCTTAGGTTCCTCCAATAACTGCTGTGATAAGTATCTACCCTTAGGTTCCTCCAATAACTGCTGTGGTAAGTATGTACCCTTAGGTCTCACCAGTAACTACTGTGTTAATTAGTACATGCCTTAGAAGAATAATCCCTTGACCAAAGTCCTTCCTTCCATTACTGTGGTAAATATACCGGTAGATTGAAAGTAATGATCTGTTGACTATATAGAGGATATTTAGTGGTGTCTTCAGAAATAACATATATATTTCACGAGTGCTGCTAATATATCAATATTTTCACACGAGTGAAATATATCTGTTATTACTGAACACACCATTAAATTTTCTATTTTTTACATTTTTAAAGCATAAAACATGAAAAATGTAATACATTGAAAAAGGGCTGGAATCAGAAGGGTAATAATTAGTGCCATATTCTAATGACGTCGCACTTGACAACAAGGCTGCACATTTTGAATGGGATACTCAACATAGCAACCACTTATTCTACCGTTGCTTTATTTGAATTTGCAGCGAATAGAAGATATCGTTATGATTGGTCAATACCAAAAAGGGATATTTTCACACTGAATACTTTTGATATTTGTCACAGCGTGAAAAATATCAGTTTTATCAAGTTTATAGAATCCGATATTTCACAGGCAAAAATGTAATAAAAGGTGCCAGCAGTCCGTCCGCTGCTGCTGGTATCTCAGTGGTTAACTGGCTATATAGAAACACTTGTCTATATTTTACAATACAAAAGCATGACTGTACAGAACAGTGTTGGAGATGGCTGCTTACCACATATACGTGTCTGGATATTTGTTACAGGTGATTGCTGAAGGTGGAGAAAATGTGATTGTCATACCTCGGAAAGGTAAGACATGTTAGTCCTTCTCTTCTATCATAATGGGATAGAAACACTGCTGGCTTGATAAAATTGGGTGTCAGTTTGATATTTGCATAAGGTTTTAGCTCACCAGGCCAATGTTTGGTGCTAGGGGTTTATACATTTGATAGGTATTGGTGTATATTGCAATAAAAGCAATATTTACTGGGTACATGTACATTTTGTTTAAGTTTAAATGATACTTGAAATCATTTCCTGTGACACTGTTTTATCAATTAAAAAACAAACAAAAAACTCTATAACTTTATAAACTTTTCATGGTTTGTTGTTTCAGATCAAAGTGTCGAAGAAGTTGAACGAACCCGTCAGTTCTCCCTTGAGGTAGTGGACCTTCTCCGTCACAACCCCCAGTGTCGCATGCCCTTCAACAAGTTCATACCTGCCTATCACCATCACTTTGGCCGTCAGTGTCGCGTATCTGACTATGGCTTCAGTAAACTCATGGACCTGTTTGAGGCCATTCCACATGTGGTGGAGGTAACTATCATGCTGATCACACAAATATAAATATGTTCTGACCTCTTTTGGAGGTAAAGGAGTTTGTAATTACAAGTTCTTCTTCTTTTAACCAATCACCAAACTGTAGGTTTACTTAAATTAGATGTACCATTTGTTTATAAAATGACATGGTTGCAAATTGTAACTAAGAGATCTATCGGAACATGCATACTACTGGATATACACACATTGTATGTATAACCCAACTCTGTTTTGTTGACATTAGATTAAAACTTGATTTTATATCAATTGTATGCCAAAAGTTTATAACTTGTATCAGTTACTCTTGTTGTACGGGATGATAGGAAACCAGAGTGCCCAAGAGCCATGAAAAAACATGACATAAAACACTTTAACCTCCGATCAGGTTATCAAACCATGGCTGTCTTTGTAAAAGGCCAGTACTGTGTGTACTGTGCAATGTTAGTATACAGAATTCAGCAATGTTGGTGTGTGGTTATAACTTTCCTTTATCAGTGATTAGTTTTGGACTGAAAGCATGAGATGTGCCAAGTGCTTGAAATCTGCTTTTAATCAATACAGCCTTCAATATTCACGATTATGACATGTTGTTACAAATTAGATGTTTCTCACATCCTCTCATTATCTTATATTTACTACTCAACATAATAAATTTTGCGTATTTTATGATAAACATTTTTGGAAAGATACCTATAGTTCTGAAAATGAATATATTACATGCATGGTGCCATTTGTAATCTGACTGTTGGCCTTAGCTACAGTTTGAATGCAGCTGTAAACTTTTAAAGTTTTAACCTGGCAAACTTTGTGCTCTATACAAGAAAACAATCTACAATTTTTTACAAGTACATGTATATATACTATTGTGATATCACAATCAATCCTAAAAGTGATAGTCTTTGATTTACTCAATCGCAACACAAGATAGAGATCATGGGCAGTGTACGTGTAACCATTCTCAAATGATTGATAACCACTTTACTGTAAAATGATTTGTTTTACAGACAAGAGCAGTATAATATGGCATGTATAATACAATCTCAGAGTAAATTAACAGCAGAAAAATATTTGATTGCAGATGGAGGAGGACAGTGAGGAGCGGATGATTCACCTGACTGAGCCGGAGCTGCGTAAGATCCTAGCGGAACAGGTGGTGAGCTTGTTGAAGTACCAAAAGAGTGAGTGTCTCCCACTTCACCATCTTATGTCAACGTTCACCTGTCATTACGGCTTCAACATCCCACTTTACGACTTCAATGTTGAGACAGAAGAAGACCTTATGAAGAAGCTACGACATGTTGTCAAGGTAAAGCGCCTTTATTCAGGCCTCTGGCCTTTTAAGTGCCATATCAGATTTCAGAATAAGTCTGTAACAAGTACACGGTAGTTAAGTAGCTTATTACCACTTAGCAACTATAAGAATGTAGGCATGAGGCTGGATTTATTGCATTGAAGGATCTGTACATGATGTCGAGTACTAAATTAACAATAAGGAATCACATTCTTCAATCATATTCTCCTTTCATGTTGTCTGCTCAAAACAAGGCCATTCTTTACTACGTGTCATTGTTGTGATAATCCTTGGCCATTGGTATTTTTAGCATACCTTTCTGTCGTCCGTCAACTTTCCTTTAAAACGCTACTTGTCCTGAACGGCTTAGTGGGTTTTAAATAAATTTGGTCTCGAGCAAGGGCTCTCAATTTGGTATAAACAGTGGGTGTGGCTCCCCTGGGGGCAGAGAAGCGGGGCCCAATAGGGGAAATAGAGGTAAAACTTTCAAAATCCTTCTTCTACCAAAGGGATTAAGGAATTTTATCCTTATTTAGTCTGGAGCATCGATCCTTGGTCCAAGAAACTTGGTGTGGCCGCCCTTGGGGCAGAGGGGTGGGTTCGCATAGGGGAAATGTAGGAATTTTTTTAAATTCGTCTCCTACCATAGGGATTGAGGGATTTCATCCGAGTTTGGTGTGGAGCATCGTTGGTCTAAGGCAACTCCATAGGTGAAATAGACAGGTAAAACTTTAAAATCCTTTTTCTACCATAGGGATAAAGGAATTTTATCCTAATCTAGTCTGAAGCACCTGTTGGCCAAGGGCACTATATTTGGTATAAACAGTGGGTTTGGACCCCCTAGGGTAGGGAAGAGGGGCCCAATAGAAGTAAAACTTTGAAAATCCTTCTTCTTGCGTAGGGATCCCAATTTAGTCTGGCGCAAGGGGACTCAATTTAGTATAAACGGTGAATGTGGCCCCCCTGGGGGCAGAGGGATTGGTCTGAATATAGGAAATAGAGGTTGATCTTTAAAATCCTTCTCGTACCATAGGGGCTAAGGGGTTTTGGTCTGGAGGATCATTGGGCCAAGAGCACTCAATTTTGTATTAACAGTGGGTGTGGCCACCAGGGCAGAGTGGCAGGGAGCAATAGGGAAAATAGAGGAAAAACCTTTGAAATCCTTCTTCTACCATAGGGTTTACGGGACTGTATCCCAATTTTGTCTCCATTAAGTTGTCTAGTAGTGCCTGTTTCCTTTATGGTGTATTCATTAAAAGAAGATGGCCACTAGGCCGCGATTTGTTATTTTGACATTTGAAGTTTGTTCTCGCTATATCCAGAAATACTGGATGGATCTTTCTCAAATTTCATATGAACATACAGTACCTACCATGGAGTCTCATATCAAGTTCTTTAAACATATCCAGGTGAGGGATACAGGCCCTATGGCCCTCTTGTTTATAGGTAGGATTCATTGCATATTAATTTAAAACTGCAATTTTACGAACAGGATATCCTTTTTTCTCCAGGTGGAGATGGTGAACAGGTGTAAGTATGTGATGTTGGTGAGTAAGACGGAGATGCCTCGCCTAGCTCATCACATCCTGCAGCTGATGATGGACCAGAGTGGAGGTAGTCTCCCTTTAGTCGAGCTCGCCAGTCGCTACAAATCACAGTATGGTCATGACTGCGACATTAAACAAATCAAGGAAGAACTATTAGATTATGTTCAGGTGAGGCATGCAAAGGGGAGATAAAATATCAATGTATCCCTTGTGTTTAGACCATCTGAAAGTGTATACAACTGATGAACACTTTTGGTTGACTGTGTTGTACAGAAAGCTTAATTAAATTGACTATATTCTGATAAAACCTGTTCAGTCTTTATATTTACAAAGAGAAAATCTAAGCTCTTTATATTTACAAAGAGAAAATCTAAGCTCTTTATATTTACAAAGAGAAAATCTAAGCTCTTTATATTTACAAAGAGAAAATCTAAGCTCTTTATATTTACAAAGAGAAAATCTAAGCTCTTTATATTTACAAAGAGAAAATCTAAGCTCTTTATATTTACAAAGAGAAAATCTAAGCTCTTTATATTTACAAAGAGAAAATCTAAGCTCTTTATATTTACAAAGAGAAAATCTAAGCTCTTTATATTTACAAAGAGAAAATCTAAGCTCTTTATATTTACAAAGAGAAAATCTAAGCTCTTTATATTTACAAAGAGAAAATCTAAGCTCTTTATATTTACAAAGAGAAAATCTAAGCTCTTTATATTGACAAAGAGAAAATCTAAGCTCCAACTTGGACAAAATCTGTAAAAGATATTTTGCATGCTGCCATTTGATTAGGTTCAACACCATAACTGAAACTGATATTCATTATACCGGGACAAAAGTTTGAAGTTAAATAAAAATCTGTTGATGGTATATATTGTACAGGCGTAAATTGTTCTGCCTCTGTGCGGCACTTAATGTTAATATTAAAAAGTTACATTTTCCAAAGTTTGTTATAGTCAGTCAATTATGTTCTTGTTATTACATTAAAAAGCTCGGTATTTATGTAAACTTTCATGTCAGCAATTCTTATGTCACTGAGCAAGCTAACAATACATTAATATTGTTTGAGGAAACTTTTAAAGATACATCTATATGTTAACAGTAGTACAAGTGATCTTGTTTCACCTTCAGCAGGAGGATGTGTTTAGTTTCAACTCCATATGACCAAAATAACCCTATGATAAATTAACTATCTACTACCTGCAATAACTGAACAGTGATCTAAAATTTGAGACGAGACAAACTGTATCACGAAATGCTATTCAGATTTTGTAACTATATATATCCTGGTTTAAGGTAATCGGAGATGACGAGTCGGCAGTAATCAGTCTAACGCCCCTGCGGAGATGAGACAAACTGTATCACGAAATGCTGTTCAGATTTTGTAACTATATATATCCTGGTTTAAGGTAATCGGAGATGACGAGTCGGCAGTAATCAGTCTAACGCCCCTGCAGGCATTTGCTCGTGATGTACGTCTCCTCCTCCATGAACAGGGACGTCTGTATTTGACTCAGTTTGAGCGGGTATACAAAGAGCGTTTCGGGGTAGAACTCAAACCTGCTTTGTTTGGCTACCCAACAACCTTAGCTTTGCTGCAGACTATCCCATACATAGCCAACATCAGAGGCAAGGGTCCCCGCAAATACTGCACCCTGTCACCAGAGTTCAAAGGTATGAGTACAAACTGACACAGCACTGCTATTTAATAGGAATGGCGTAAACGCCATTATTTCATTGCAAATACTGCTCCTATAGTTCATTGGTAATAGGATTAATCCACAGTTGAAATGCTACCTACTGTTAAGTAATATAAAAATATATTACTTCTGTTTATATCATGCTTGTGCATGGTCTTTGTAATGCTGCAATTTTGCAAAAAATAGTTGACGATGAGTTTAAAAAACAGATTTAGCATATTTCTTGTTTCAAAGTTCAGTTGAAATGATGATGACTGTGTGGTAGTCTGTGTAAGTCTTCCTTTGAGTTGATTTAAGTGAGGTTATTCATAAGTTTTGTCTCTCACAGCTGGCTTGCCTGCCTACAAGGACCAGGAGGAAATGAGGGACTATGTGCATCGGCCTGCCTCTGACACTCAGTCCAGTGACTCTGGTGTCACAGACAACAACCCTGAAGGTTAGATAACCAGAATACACCTTTATCAGTTATCTCCTGCCTACTCTAAAGGGAAACCCATTTACTACTGTAATATGCCTGACCTATCTACTTGCATGCACACATACAGTTCAATGATTTTCATAGGACTGCTTTAGGCAAGTTTCAAAATGAATCTCATTACTTGCAAATTCAATGGGTCCGCAAAATTATGAGGAGTCCAAAAGGAGAGGCATGAATCCAGAGCTGAAATAACTTGATCCCAAAAATCACTTATTACATGCATACACAGATGTAGGTCAGTTGTTCTGTATATCTCTTAGAGAAATTCAACTGTAAAATGATGTTTTGGTTGTAGATGATGAACTCTGTGTTGAAAGTGCGGCCAGAAAATCACAGAAAGTTGACCTTATGTCCAGCCATCAGTCAGTGGAACAATCCATGCCTACACGGTCACTGGATCTGCTCTCTGCCCCTGTACCTTCAGCCATCCCGTCCCCGGACCTAAACCCAGAAGAACAACAGATCCCTAACCTTATGACCTTCGATATTACTTGTGCAGGTGAATATTGTTACATATGCATCTTGCTATAAACTTATCTAAAATTTACAGTGAAGTCTAGACCATTAGGTAAAATACTGTGAAGCTTGTTCACTACAGCATTTGTGCATTTTGTTGAATGCTTGCTGATTATCACACCATTTATACATATAAATGGCCTTGACATATTTATGTGTTGCAGATATACAGGAGAGAATTTGGACTCTGACAGACAATGAGAAGCGAGGACAGAAGACGCCATTGTGTCGAACACCAACCTCGGAGCTTTTAAACTTTGCTGCCCAATGTCTGATCTCTCGTCCACCACCACCAGCATCTGGCGGGTCCACGCCCAGTCTGGACAGGGCGACAACACCTCAACTCCTCAGGAAAGGGGAGCAAAGTCAGGCAGAGGTCACAAAGGGTGAGGTAGTTGATGATCAGGGTTGGTGGAAGGCTAGCGATTCACAGCTAACAGAAATGATGCAGGTTTTCTCAAGAAAGGAAGCCCCGACCAGACAGGAAGTGGATGGAGCAGGACCTGTAAGAGGTCGTGAGCCAAGAGAAGTGTGTACTACTGACACTATGTTAGTTCAATCTGGGGCTTCTGCTTCAACAACATCTTCTGAAAAATTAGAAAATTCCTCTTCACAAAAGGATAACGCAGCTAGTTTTAGACAGAGCCAGGACATCCCGAGCGCAGGTCGGGTACAAACCTCTGACAGTCAGATCGATTTGAAGCCAGCCTCCAGTCCAGATACACACATCCCAGTATCCACCACAAAATTGCCCTCACAAGTGTCTCCTACTAAGGTGTCAACAGGTCAAGTATCCTCTGCCCTGACATCTACTGATCAAGTATTCTCTACAAAGGTCTCTACTGGTCAAGTGTCAACTATTGAGGTGTTGACTGGTCAAATGTCCACTAGCCTGGCGTTTACAGAAAATCAGTCTTCTATGACATGTAGCCCAGGTAAGCAAGTGCAGACGTCTGCTCCAGTCACTATGGCTACAAGTCCAGTCGTTGGTAACAAAAAAGCTAAGAAAACAGAAACCACATATAATAAGAAGTCTAAGGATACTGTCCTAAAGCACAAAATTGTGTTGCCAAAATGTCTGCCAAAGGAGAAAACAATAAAATCCTTGACAGATACAGCCTGTTACGACAGCATATTCCGACAAGAACCACCCCTGGATACCAGTTCTGTTAAATCTGACACCAGCACCCTAAGTGATGTTTCCCAAGGGTCACCTCGCAAATCTCCACGCAAACAACGCATTGCAGCTCGCTTTGACAACCCAATGGAGCCTGTATCACCTCCATAAAATGTGTATAAAAGGTCAGGAGGAAGTTTAATCACAATAACTTGATTATTTGTTGCTTTATTTTCTTATTTTTTTGCTGATGATAATGATTTATTCGGGAGATTGCCTTCCCTAGGCAGAATTAGATATGTATTGTGTACTGTATTTGACATAATTAAGAGCCTTTGTGATGATTGCATCTTGGCATTTCGGAGTGATATTGTCACTGCAAACTGGACAGTAAATTGGAACAAAGACTAGTAAACAAAAAAGTCGAAAAAAAACTAGAAAGTGATTTAAAAGGACCCTTAAACTTTGTTTTATTTCAAAGGGATTTATGTGTTCTGTGTTAATTATCCTCAAGAGCAGTCTGGTCCTCCTTTTTGGTATTTCCGTCTGTTTCTACAGTATATACCTGTTTATAGTATTGAATGTAGATCAGATGTTGAATTTTTGTACCAGTAGGTATGTATTGTTTTCTTGATATTTTGTATGAAATAACAATCATGTCTTGGTATTTATAATACCAAGCAGTCTTGGTATAAAAATCAAATATCATTATTGTAAGGATATTTGTTGTTCAAGCAGTGGTAGTGGTATGTGTGTGTAAATACCAAATTATTGATTGTCTGTGTTTATGCTTCGTAGTTTGATAACTGGATATGCTATACTACCAGTAAATCATTTATTCTAATTAACCCTTTCAGCCCTATGTAACTTTAGTAGACTCTACCATGCATTGATCTGGACGAGTCCTTTGTGGTCTACAGTGTTGAAAGGGTTAATGCCCCATTCCTCCACAACAGTTTAGTTTGCCTTTCGTAGGCATTATTTACTTTTAACATGTTGGCTCACCAGACAAATAACACTGATACAATGGCTCAACATTTATCTTCTATAAATTGCTCTCAAGTTTGTTTGATTAATTCACATGCACCCACTTTTAAGGTCAAAGGGGTCAAATGTGTTCTTCAAACAACTTCTTCTAAAGAACAATGATGCCTAGAGTGGTGAATGTTAGACTTAATGAATGTCAAGGTTACAGGGGTCAAATATGCAAGAACCCACAACTTCTTCTAAAGTAGCTTAATGCTTGGAGTAATACCATATGGCTTGTAGTTTTCTGGTTTGATTGCTACCAATTTCGTCATGACAAAACACATTAACCCACTATCAGAGTCAAGGTAGTTTAATGCTACAAAAATTCACGTAACTTCTGCTGAAGAACCTTGACACTACCTGAAGACATTTAGCTTGTAGCTTAGCTTGAATGAAGTTCTATCAAGTTCATGAAATCAAGGACTTTTTTGATAGTAAAATCATATAATGTGTTATCAAGTGAGTGATGCAGGCTCTGTTTGCCTCTTGTTATACATTTGAGTTTGAGGTTTTGTTCTGTAAATGGTTACTTTTTCATTGGTCTTTATTTTTTGTACTTTTATATCCAAATAAATCCCTCGTCTTTTTTGAGTCTCTCAACATCTGGGACATTAATAAGAATACATAATGGTACTGATATATTGATCCAAGTGTAAAGTTAGTATCAAACATTTGTGATAAACAATTTGTATTTTTCCTACATACAAACATCATGTATACCCTACAGTGAAGGAGCTATATCTGTCCTAGGGCACATCATTGTCAGTAATAGCACACTGTTTACAACACCAACTGGTGAATACGGCATATATTATAAGAGTTACTTATTAACTCTTATATGATATTGTACTTGCAATCTAATGTATAAGTCTATTGTGAATATACCATGTGGTATATAGTACAACAGAGATGATATTTAAAATATAGATTGTTCATGTAAATAATGAAAATGACCTAGGATAGATAAATGATATTTAACTTGTAGTGGGTAAATTGAAATTTACCTATTGTAGGTAAGTAGATGTACCTGGTGAGTTAATATTTGATATCCCTGTTGAAGGTGAAAAGTGAGATTTACCTTTGTGCGGTAAGCAATGAGATTTACTTAAAGTGAGTAAATATAAAGATTTACATGTTCCTGTGGTTGTTAAAATAACATAATTTACCTGGCATAGTAAAATAACAAGATTCATCTGCAGTCAGTTAAATAATAAGATTTACCTGTGCTAGGTAAAGAACAAGATTTACCTGTGGTAGGTACAGTGTAAAGGATAAGATTTACCTGTGGTAGGTACAGTGTAAATAATAAGATTTACCTGTGCTAGGTACAGTGTAAATGATGAGATTTACCTGTGCTAGGTAAAGAACAAGACTGATATGTGGTAGGTACAGTGTAAATGATAAGATTACCTGTGGTAGGTACAGTGTAAATGATGAGATTTACCTGTGGTAGGTACAGTGCAAATGATGAGATTTATCTGTGGTAGGTACAGTGTAAATTATAAGATTTACCTGTGGAAGGTAAATGATGAGATTTACCTGTGGTAGGTACAGTGTAAATGATAAGATTTACCTGTGGAAGGTGAATGATGAGATTTACCTGTGCTAGGTAAAGAACAAGACTGAGATGTGGTAGGTACAGTGTAAAGGATAAGATTTACCTGTGGAAGGTAATTGAGATTTACCTGTGGTAGGTACAGTGTAAATAATACGATTTACCTGTGGAAGGTAAATGATGAGATTTACCTGTGCTAGGTAAAGAACAAACCTGCGATGTGGTAGGTACAGTGTAAAGGATAAGATTTACCTGTGGAAGGTAAATGAGATTTTCCTGTGGTAGGTACAGTGTAAATAATAAGATTTACCTGTGGAAGGTAGATGATGAGATTTACCTGTGCTAGGTAAAGAACAAACCTGAGATGTGGTATGTACAGTGTAAATGATGAGATTTACCTGTGGTAGGTAAATAGTGAGTTGTGATGAGATTTACTTGTGGTGAGTAGATATAGGTATCTGTGTGTGGTAGTCAGATTAGCATGATTTACCTGTGTGGGCATATAAGATTTACCTGTGGTAGGTAAATAAGATTTACATTTGGTAGGTAAAAATCGAGTTGTGATGAGATTTACTTGTGGTGAGTAAATATAAAAACCTGTGTGTGGTAGTCAGATTAGCATGATTTACCTGTGTAGGTAAATAGTGAGTTGTGATGAGATTTACTTGTGATGAGTAAATATAGGTACTTGTGTGTGGTAGTCAGATTAGTATGATTTACCTGTGGTAGGTAAATAGTGAATTGTGATGAGATTTACTTGTGGTGGGTAAATATAGGTACCTGTGTGTGGTAGTCAGATTAGCATGATTTACCTGTGTAGGTAAATAAGATTTACCTATGGTAGGTAAATAGTGAGTTGTGGTGAGATTTACTTGCGAGTAATATAGAGATTTACCTGTGGTAATCAGATTAGCACACTGCTACCAGTGTATGTAAATAAGATTTACCTGTGGTAGGTAAACATGGAGAGTTACCTGTAGTTTGTAAATATGTGTGAAACAAATTTACTTTTGATGGCTTAAAAATGGAATTTTACCATCAGTCTTATGTAATTGATAAGTAATCATTCTCAAGATTTTGAGATTTGTGGTTAAAGTCAAGTTGTATGACATTGTTGGTATAATTACCAACTGTAGATAATTACCTTCGATACATCAGGTATGGATACTATATCTAGCCATAATTTGGTGGTATACTTGAGATAGCAATAAAGGGAAAGTAACTCTGTTATCAAAATGGTACCAAGTCAGATAGTTTTTGGTATCAGTTTGAAGAGTTTAAATGAACAAATACCTTTGATCAGACTCATATGGTATATGAATATGATATCGGATACATGTGTGTCAGGAATGAAATATCATGTTTTGGTACAAGATCCATGTGTGTCAGGAATGAAATATCATGTTTTGGTACAAGATACATGTGTGTCAGGAATGAAATATCATGTTTTGGTACATACTGTATATTAATTAGATAAAGACAATCAAAATGCAAAAGAATATCGCAGGAATGATATTGGAGAGAAGATACCATGATTTTGGTATTTAAACATCACCAAGCTACCATGGTGTGTTCTGTGTTTGGTATCTGCCAAGCTCTGTCTGGTTTACCATGATGGTGGTATCAGAATTGTATATTGTAATAAAAGGTTTTCTGGATCATGGCCAGTCTCGAAGGTAATACTGGCGGCACTGTAGATGTAAAATGTTTCACTGACAGTTTTTCACTTGTTCATTTGTCATAAGTAACTAATCCAATATAAAATTCACCTTTCAGTAAATATTAGATTCCATTTATATTATACTAAAGGTTGTTCATTTCATCAGAAAAGAAGTAAATATTAATTTTGTATACAAATTATTTAAATTGAAATGGACCATTATGTATGTACAGTGAAATTACAAGAATGTCCATTATCTTAATCCTTCTTAATTTTCTAAAGAAATAATAAGTTACAATTGAACACATTAAAGGGTTATTATGTGACACTTTAATGTAAATATGTGTTTGAATGTCCGAGTAACTGACCATTCCTTATGTACAGTAACGTAACTGACCATGCTGGCACAGGTAAGGAGTCCTGTAGTCTGGTCAGTTAAGAGATGGAATCACGACTTCCTAGGAGCACTATATCACTAACTAATTGATATATATATATAACATATGATAACCACTAAAGGAACAATGATTTAATTTTTTGCTGTGACAGCCTATTGCTAGAGGGTACATATATTATTCAAAACTAGCCCTGGTTAACAGTCCTTCCTGTTCTCAGCATTCACTAATTAGTTTCTGGTCATAGGCTTTCCTTCAGTGTGTAGTGTTCGACACAGAATAGTTAGGTCATGGTTAAATCTATCTTGGCTAGCAAGGTTTATCGAAATTCTGCTGAATAGTTCAGTTTGTTATATTTAGGACATAAGTAATTTACATGAAGGATGGTTGAGGCAGGTTTTAATGTATGTTTGGCATAATTAATGATAACCGAACTGCTTTTGATTGGTTGATCTTGGTGGTATTCAAATATATTTAATTATTATGCGAGGAAAGGTAGCACTTGAGAATGGTTGTTAACATCGAGTTACAGGGAGGGAATTTCTGACTAAAGTGATGCAATCAAGCTATCGGGTACAGTAAACCTTTATATGCTACATGCAACCACTCTTGTCTTGCAAAGTTTTGACACCATAAGGAGTAACGGCAACATATTGCAGATATTGTTATGGAAAAATATATTGAAAAATCTGTGGGTGACAATGAGTTGGCAAATGAATTAAATGATGGACATTATAATGAGGTTTTACTGTGTATCAAACATGTAATACGGTGTTTTCTTGATGGAACATATTATCAAAGTACAAAAATACCTATTAGACAAGGTATATTGATTTCACATACCTTGATGTTTAATGCATGTTTGATCAAAATTAAAATGTCTTTTGTAGCAAACATACAGTAGCTTATCAAATATCTAGCATTGTTTTCAGATTTGAGTGCAATGTGTGCTGTGGTATATCCACAAGCTTTACCTCTGGTATATATAAACATGTGTGCTTCTATGACAATAGGATGCTTTCTCTGGTAAAACCTGTCACATGTTTCACAGTGCCTGTAGAAGCATGGTCACCGACAGGAAGTTGGTGTATGGAGCAGTGAAAATAAAGCAATCCACATGACTAGTGGTTTGAGATTTTTGTTTCATTCCTCTGCCCTGCTACATAACGTATCACATACTGAGTTCAACCTTCGTAACATAGATAAATGCATCTGCACATTTTGTCACTCATATTACTTTTTGTGTTGGTGTATTTCATGAGTTCTGAATCTATGGGTACCATCATACACACCTATGCTGGGGCACACTGTACATGGGGACAGTCTATCAGATTTCATACCATTACATAACTAACCTGGGCATCTTCCTGAAGAATCATGATAAGGTAACCTTGACTCCTTGCACCAATCACAGTCGGACATAATAAAACTTTGATGTCATGTGACAAGTCTGTCTCTATTTGTATCAACATGTATGTCTTAAAACCGCTATCATTGAGGAGAAAACACTCGATAGAGTGTAGTGTGGCTCACAATAAATGGAGGTCCAAGTGAGAACTGTTAAATCTGTAGGTTCTGAAACCTTGAATCGTCTTTATTCTCAATTTTTCACTGTTAGGAAGTGTCAGTTGAAGTGAAAGAAGTCTACACCTTCCTTCAGATTGAGAGACTTGATATTCTGTTCTAGCTTTCCTTCAGTCATGTCCTACAATACACAAACACGTTAGATATAATAATAGTGATTAAATCTCCTTTTCATCAACATAAATGTATTGGTGTTAATCCCTGCTGGTGATTTCTGAACTTGCACTCGATGAAAAGTAACTGTACCTTTTAATATTGATTAAACACCTCAAATAATGTAATAATAATCTGTTGTTGTTTGCAAACGTAGCTTGTTCATGCTTCAACAAAACTGCGTTCAAATTAAGAAAAAAATCAAAAGCAATTAATTGTAAAATTTTCATATAGGAGGTTGCATTGGTTGGTTGTTCGACGGGTTTATCGCCTACATGATTCCACCTGTGCGTGTGTCGTCTCGCTGACTGAGGTTGGTGCTCTGTCGGCGTATGGGAGGATTGAGCATAGTTTTATAAAGCATTACATCAGCACCCTTGGGCCTCCTGCATCCATTTCCTTGAGACCACTAAACTAGATGTGTTCTATACCTTTCTGGTTGTACCATAAAAAGGTAACAAGGAAAATTATTATTCTGTATTCAGCAATAAAAATTTGCTCTTCCAATTACATTTCAAAGAAATTATACACTCAAAGTTATGATTAAATCAGAAATTTCAATAAACATGACACATTTCAACCCCATTTCCTGTTAGAAGTAGTGGCTGTGACATACCATTTTGACACAGATGAGGAAGGGCTTTGTTCCCTTGCTGAAGTGCATGATGGGAACAGTGGGTTTGGGCTTCTCCTGGTAAGAACAAAGTGACAGCTTTAAGTGTTAAGATTTTGTAGAAATTGTTTGATTTATCTTATTTTAGATTATCTTTATAGCGTGCATCTACATAGCCAATGGCCAATGTGAGTACAGATAGCAAACTTCAAGTAAATATGAAATGTTGATACAGCAAACATTTAGTAGACATTCAATCTCGACATCCAATGTCAATACAGATTAGCAAACATTCAGTAGACATCCAATGTCAATACAGATTAGCAAACATTCAGTAGACATCCAATGTCAATACAGATAAGCAAACATTCAGTAGACATCCAATGTCAATACAGATAAGCAAACATTCAGTAGACATCCAATGTCAATACAGAT